AAGCAGCTAAGTAACTGCCTTTGGGATGTGGTCTGCTTCCCATATATAAGAAACACCTTTGGGAATAGTCTCTAGCTTATGGCACATTTGGACCTTTTATGTAGCCATGTCATTGTTCGGCAGCCTGCCATGCTCTGCTGACTTTGGGACTTACAATAGGCTAAATTAATGGCTTGCCATGTGGTTTGGTAACATCGGACTGTGCCTTTTTACTTGTCAACCTTGGGCTTGGCAGCCTCAGCAGCCAGCAGCTGTCTGAGTGAAGAAAAGCCTCTAGCTTCAGTGGGCCAGGAGCTGAAGGCAGAGCTGAAGCCCAAGGCTGAGGAGCTTTCACCCAGCCCCTAGAGCCTGGCACTTTGAACTTGGACTTCTAGCCTGATTTGAGGTAGTAAACATTGAGTCTTTCACTGTTGAGTATTATGCTCAGTGTAGATCTTTGTAGATACCTGCAGTCAGGTTTTGGAAGTTCCCTTCTATTCCTAGTTTGCCAAAGGTGGTTTTTAATCATGAATGGATATAGGATTTTATTAAATGCTTCTTTGGGACCTATTTAAATATATGTTTTTCTCTCTCTCTTTTTTTTTTTTTTTTTGGTGATACGGTGAATTAGTTTGACTGATTGCTGGTTATCAAACCAAACTTGGAGTTCTGGGATCAACTACTTTACATATATTTTTCTAAAATTTATTAAGAAATTTTGCACCTATTTTCTTAGAGACATAGTCGATTCTCTTTGTGCTGGTCTGGGTCTTAGAATTAGATTAACATGGACCTTAGCATATAATTTGAAAAGTGTTCTATTTTCTCAAAGATTCTGGGTAAAATTGTCATTATTCCTTCCTTAAGAATTCAACAATGAAGTTACTAATTTGATGTGTTTATTTGACATAGAAATTCAGTGTTTATTTTCTTTTGAGAAAAGTTTTGTCATGTGTGTCTTTAAGGAGCTGTTTGCAGTACCTCTGGGTTCCCACATACTTTGGCATACCGTTGTTACACTGCTGCCTTAGTCTTGGAGAGTCTAGGAGATTGGTAGTGGAACTCCTCTGCTCCTCTCTTTGATTCTTGATCCTGGTAATATGGGTTTGGTTTGGTTTATTTTGATTCACAGATGACATAAATCTGGGACACATATTCTTGATAAATGGAATGACAAATTAGACAACAAATGATCTTGGGTTAGTACACAGTAGCTCATTAATGGGATAACTCTTAATAAAACATAAATGTGAACTCTTTTGTTGCTGCCAAAAATGAAAATCTAGTAGTATACTATTAGTGTGTGTGTGTGTGTGTGTGTGTGTATATATATATATATATATATATGAAAATTATTTAGTGCAATACATTTTATGACTATTCTTGTTTTGAAATAGTTCTACCCCAATAGTGATGTGAGTTTGGTTCCAAAAGTCTGGTATCATTTGATGGTCTTATGAACCTTACCTTAAATTTTAGATTAAAATAACGATATTTTTATATGATAAGCTAATAAAACCAAACCCACTGCCATCAGTTGATTCTGACTCATAGTGACCTATAGCGTTTCCAAGGCTGTAAATATTTATGGAAGCAGACTGCCTCATCTTTCTCCCAAGAAGTAGTTGGTGGGTTCAACCTGCCAACTTTTTGGTTAGCAGCCAAATGCTTTAACCACTGCACCACCAGAGCTCCTTTGTATATGATAGTCATTTTAAATGTTTTTTTCAGGTTTATCAGTAAAAGGTGTTTTTATACTCTGAAGCTTTTCAATCATATCAGAGCTTAATTAAAGTGAGAAAAATTTCTATTCAGGAGAAGCTGAAACTGTGACTTCCAAAACTAGTTAAGTCAGCAGTGTGACCTTACCCAGAAACACAAACTTACCCAGAAAAGAGAATGAAATAGTATCTTAAATTCTGTGTAAGTGTGAAATCAGGGCATTTACTAATAATCAGTAGTAAAAATTGGGGGGAAAGAGAAGTAATTTAGTATTTGGCCTTATTAATTATTCCTACTGAAAACTATCTTTTCCTATTTGGAATATGTACTTCAAAGATCATTTGACATGAAAAAAAGCAATAGATAAAAATATGATTTACAGACAGAAAAAAATAGATTACATTAAAACCTATACTTGCCTCAATTCATTTCTCAACCTCATCATCCCTAACTCCACTTCACTCTCAAGAGAAAAGAGGAAACACAGTCCCAGTCCAGGTGTTAATTTTTTTAGATTACAGTACTCAGTCTCAGAGAGTTTACTTATTTACTCCTTCACCACCTTTAGACTTCTATGATTAGAAAACTTTGCATTCTCAAGTTCGGCCTTGGCCCGCTAGGTTTGAATCGTATGTGTATGCATGGGTTTGAGATGTGCCTTTAAGAGCTTTGTGAACTGGAACACACTGTAACATTATAATGTGATTATTTACTCTTCTCTACTGTAAGGCAGCATTAGGATGAATGTTTTTGGAAGTTTAAACACAAATGGGGGTTTCTGGGTGGCACAAGTGGTTAAACACTCCACTACAAGCCAGGGATACCTCAGGAAACAGGCCTGGTGATCTGCTTCTGAAATGACACAGCCTTGAAAACTCTGTGGAGCAGTGAGGTCACCGGAAGTCACAATCAACTCAATGGCAACAAACAACAAACATGAATTTTTTGGGGGAGATTGTTTTTGTTTTTATTTTTGCAAATTTATAACCAAAACCAAACCAGACTCACTGCCGTCAAGTCGGATCTGACTAATAGAGACCCTCTTTGGGTTTCTGAGGCAGTATCTGTATGGCAGGAGCTCTGGTGGCGTAGTGCCTAACGCATTTGACTGCTAACCAGAAGGCTGGTGGTTCAAACCCACCAGCCACTTCTCAGAAGGCAGGTTGGGCAATCTACTTCCATAGTGATACCGCCTCGGAAGCCCAAGGAGGGGTTGCTATGAGTCAAATCCAACTCAACAGCAGTGGTTTGGTTTGGATTGGTTATCTGTATGGAAATAGATTGCCCGTCTTGCTTCTGAGGAGTGGATGGTGGGTTTGAACCACCAGCCTTCTGGTTAGCAGTCAGATGCCATAGGCACTACACCACCAGAGGAGCTCCTTACCCCATTTCCAATTTCTTGAGCATACTAGGTTAAGATTTTTCTTAATTTAAAAGCAGTTTTGCAAAACCTACTGACATTAAAATTAAAGAAAAACTTCCAAATAAGGACTCTTTTACCAGCCAACATCATTAGATAGGAAAATTGAATTTCTAAATTTTAAGTGTGATTTGTATCTGAAAGCAATACAGAAAGTGGCATATTTGGATGTTAACGGGGTATTTGGCAAAGTCCCTCATGAGAGAACCTTGAACAACAGGCCTGAAATGTGGCCTTGATGATAATATAGTAAGACTGATTTGTAATTGAACTCAAACACTGATTGAATTCTTGTCACCTGGAGGGATATGGCATTCTAGCCTGGTCCACATTTTATCAGTGATTTGAATGAATGAGGACAAATACCATGGTTTGTTTTATTTGTTTCTTTTTTAATTCACAGATGACATAAATCTGGGACACATATTCCTGATAAACTGGATGACAGATTAGTTTAGACAACAAAATGATCTTGAGTTAGTGCAGAGTAGCTCATTAACAAGATAACTCTTAATGAAACATAAATGTAAACACTTTTGTCATTGTCAGAAATGAACATTTAACATTATGCTACAAAAAATAGAGTTTCTGAGTCCATCTGATGATGTAGACCACCATTCCCATGACACTGAAACATGCAAGGTGTAGAATTATAGTCACAGTGGCCTCTCAGTACAGAATATCAGTGGGAGTTCCAGATGGTGTGATGAGAGGTGGTTTTCTTCTTGCCTTTCTGTTTATTTCCAGGGTTTCTCCAGTGAGCATGGCCCTCTAATAAAGCACATGGATGATAAGAAAACGTTTGATTTTTTTGGTGGCCTGCATGTGCAGTCTGAGAATATGTTTGTTGATATTGTTACAATAGATTTCCTCCCTCCTTTGTTCGTCTTTAATAATAGTCACGTGGTACAGAAGTCCGCACCAACCGTAGCCTCCTTTGTGGTGGTGCTTTTTCAACCTGCTGCTATGAATCCCTTGAATGTTTTCCTTTTCTCTCTGCCACAGGTTGAATTAATAAAGGGGAATTTACAAAGTGTTGGACTTACACTCCGTCTTGTCCAGTCAACTGATGGGTATGCTGGGCATGTCATAATTGAGACTGTGGCCCCAAACTCACCTGCTGCGATGGCGGACCTTCAGCGAGGAGATCGACTTATCGCTATTGGAGGTGATTATGCCAATACGCAGTATACTTACTTCATAGTCATGGAAAACTGGAAAGTAGATATGGATTTTTCCCTCTCTCATTTATTTCTATAATAAGCACATGTTACTTTTATAATAGAAAAGAATAAATTTTATTATAAATTAAATATGAGGGAGGTCTTAAAAATACATTTACAACACGTGTCATTTTAGTCCCAGTATTCATTTTTGGTTTTTTTTTTGTATATAAATTTTTAGGCCACTGCTATGGTGCTGTGTAACTTCCCTGATTTTCCTCCTCCTACTCTTCTTCCATGTATTTTATTGAATGAGAAAATAAGGGCAGGTCAGCAGTCAGCGTCCTGTCCAGTGACACCATTTTTCTACTCTGAGCTGAAAATTGGTACCATTAGCACTGCTGTCCCATCACTTAGGACTTGATAACGAACAGAACTAATATTTCTTGTCCGGAAGGGCAGCTGAACTGTTCTGTGGCCCCATACGGTCCCTAAATGCTCAGCCATTTGTTAGTGTGCTATGATTCAGAGTTGAGGCCAGATCACTACCACTGATGGAAAAATGCATCCATCACCTGCATGCCTTCCTGACAGTTGGATTGTTATCAGCAACAAAAACTGCTCTGTTGATAGGCAGATTATTTGCTTGGATGGCACAGTAGTTAAAGCATACAACTGCTAACAAAAAGATCAGTGGTTCAAACCCACAAGCCAGTCCATGGGGGAAAATATGTATAGTTTTGGAAACCATATGGCGCAGTTGTGCTCTTCCCTGTAGGGTCACTGTATGTTGGAATCAGCTTGATGGCAGTAGAGTGGGTTTTTGAATAAGGAGTAGGATTCACTGTGCATGCCAATGGGGGAAAAGTCTAAGCCCACCCATTCTAAACACGTTAAGAAACTTCTTGAACATGTGCTATCACAGTTGGTCTTCTGAGGGCTATAATAGTATGTTGTCTCACAACTGAGAAAACAAATAATGTGTATAACAAGGTAGATAAGTTCCCAAATCAGGAAGCAGCCATCCTGTTACATGTCAGAGAGCCTTATAGCCTTTGATACAAATCCGTAGCTACCATAACATAATGGAAATGATTCTGTTGCAAACCTGTGAGCCCAGCTAAGTCAATGTGTGCGTGGAACTCCCTGTGATCATGGTATCAGCCGCGTGCCTCAGACTTTCATGTGTGTTCCAGTCACCTGCACCTGGTGTTAAAATGTAGATTCCGGTTCATTAGACCTGGGGTGGGCCCCAAAATTCTGCATTTACAAGTTCTCAGGTGAGACTTACGCTGCTGGCCACAGACACTCAGGATGGGAAGGGCATAAAACAGACCTCATCCATTATGTAGTGGTTTAACATAAACACGAGTTACCTCATCCATTATGTAGTGGTTTAACGTACATGTGAGTTTATCCTTCCTCAGCTAAAAACAATTGAGTGCAAAATGTTTATATCCACAAAGACCTTGTATTGGTTTTAATTATAAAGTAAAATTCTGTTTTTTTCCTTTTTGTGTCCTTTTTTGGATTTTTATTTTAAATGACACAGATAGTGATGCCTATTTAGATAGATAGGTAGATCTAAGAAATATCAATGTTTGAAGAGTGAAAAAGCAAAAGTCTTCCCTTTCCATCTCATGTTCTTTAAAAATGATAGTTGTTGGGGTGAGGGATGAGCTGTATTTGATTACAAATATGCATCCATCAGAGGAAAAAACCCTATACATAAACACAAGGGAGCTCTGGTGGTGTAGTAGTTAAGGCATTTGGCTGCTAACCAAAAGGTCAATGGTTCAAACCCACCAGCTTCTGTTCAGAAGAAAGATAGGGCAGGCTGCTTCCATTAAGATTTATAAGCTTGGAATCCCAATTAGGGTCTCTCTCTATAAGTCAGAATTGACTCAGTGGCAGTGGGTTTTTTGGATACATAAATACATCCCCTGCCACACCTCCAGAAGACAAGTTTGAATTCTGTTATGTGTTTTTTGTAATCTTTTAATAGGTCATAAACTTTTCCCCACGTCAACAAGTGTTGTTTTTTTTTGTTTTTTGTTTTTAAATGTTAATAGCTGCAATCGATTTATTTATATGGATATAGAATCATTTTGATAGAGCTATCATGTCATTTAGGAGCTCTGGTGGTATAATGCCTAAGGCATTTGACTGCTAACCAGAAGGCTGGCGGTTCAAACCCACCAGCCACTCCTCGGAAGAAAGACTGGGCAATCTGCTTCCATAGTGATACTGCCTCGGAAACCCAAGAAGGGGTCGCTACGAGTCGGGACCGACTCCACGGCAGTGAGTTTGGTTTGGGTTTTTTTATCAGGTTATTTACCCAGGAAAGAATGAGAAGCAATTAGTTAGCAGTTTGGCACCCTTCTAGGGATTGTCATGTCATCATTTGGTTTGAAAGGCTCACCATTTCCAGATCAGCACATTCAGGGTTTGAGAATCTGTTTACAGATATAACTGTAAGCCACATAAAATAGCTTTAAGGTTTTCCTATTGCTTTTTTGTTTAGTTACATAGTTATGAGGTAATGGCAGTTGTATTTAGCAAATCTGGGGTATTTTTATTGCCAAAATTGACATGTTTTCTCTCCCTTTTGAAAATCTTGATGCAGGTGTGAAGATCACGTCCACACTGCAGGTGCTGAAGCTCATCAAGCAGGCTGGTGACCGCGTCCTGGTGTATTACGAGAGGCCTGTGGGCCAGGGCAATCAAGGTGCAGCACTGCAAGACCACTTTGGACAGTTGGAGGAAAACTTTCTGTCAGGCTCATGCCAACCAAATTATGAAGAGGAAGCAGCCGGGTTGGCCATGGATGCTGAAAATAGAGACCTAGATTCTGAATTTGAAGACTTGGCAAGTGATGTCAGAACACAGAATGAGTTCAGAGATGAGGCACAGTCATTGAGCCACAGTCCCAAACGCACTCCAGCAGCACTTTCTGTTAAACCCCTTGGAACTGTGTCGCCAGTTTTAAACCGTAAATTAGTTGTAGGAAGTCACCCACCACCACCAAAACTTCCATCCAAAGAAGGGAGTAAACCCTTAGCCCTAAAACCTTCTGATACAACGGACCTAGCACACGTGTCAAAACCAACCCAAGGATCTTCTTTCAAACCACCTGTGCCACCACGACCACAGGTGAAAGCTCCTTTGCCTCCTGCTGATGCCCTGAATCAGGTCGAACCAGATGTTCTTACTGAAAAGCCAGAGAAGGCCCCGCTGCCTCCTTCTGCAGATAAGGCTGCGGAGAAGCAAGCAAAACCTGTGGATAACCTAGAAGAAGCCACTGCGTCCAAGCAGTTTTCAGTAAAGCAGGAGGTGGCTAAAGATTTTACTTCAGAAAGTTCCTGCCCTACTAAGGACAGTTCAGATGACCCTCAAACGTGGGAGTCCTCAGAAATTCCTTATCGTAATAAGCTAGGAAAATGGACAAGAACCAGGGCCACCTGTTTCTTTGACATAGAGGCCTGCCACAGGTACTTAAATATTGCACTGTGGTGCAGGGATCCTTTCAAGCTAGGGGGCCTCATCTGTTTGGGGCACGTTAGTTTAAAACTGGAAGAGGTGGCTTTGGGATGCTTAGCGACATCAAACATGGAATACCTTTCAAAGTTCAGACTGGAAGCCCCGTCACCTAAGGCAGTGGTCACAAGAACTGCACTACGCAATCTGAGTGTACAGAAGGGATTCAATGACAAATTTTGCTTTGGTGACATTACTATTCACTTCAAATATTTGAAGGAAGGAGAACCAGACCACCAGATAGTTACTAATTTAGAGAAAGAAAAAGAACTTCATTTGGTCGAAGAGGTTTCTGCCCTACCCAAAGAGGAGCATTTTGTCGGACAGGTGGGTTTAACAGAAAATAAACATAGTTTCCAGGATACTCAGTTCCAGAACCCGACCTGGTGTGATTACTGTAAGAAAAAAGTTTGGACTAAAGCTGCTTCCCAGTGTATGTTTTGTGCTTATGTTTGCCATAAAAAATGTCAAGAAAAGTGTCTAGCTGAGACTCCTCTTTGTGGAGCAACTGATAGGCAAATAGACCGGACTCTGAAAAACTTACGGCTGGAAGGACAGGAAACCCTCTTAGGCTTGCCTCCTCGAGTTGATGCCGACACTAGCAAGTCAGTCAATAAAACGACAGGTCTGACAAGGCACATTATCAACACTAGCTCTCGTTTGTTAAATTTGCGTCAGGTCTCTAAAACGCGCCTTGCTGAACCAGGAACTGACCTAGTAGAACCATCACCCAAACATACACCCAATACGTCAGACAACGAAGGCAGTGATACAGAGGTATGTGGGCCAAACAGTCCTTCTAAACGGGGAAACAACACAGGAATCAAATTAGTAAGAAAAGAGGGTGGTCTGGATGACAGTGTCTTCATTGCAGTTAAAGAAATTGGTCGTGATCTGTATAGGGGCTTGCCTACGGAGGAAAGGATCCAGAAATTAGAGTTCATGTTGGATAAGCTACAAAATGAAATTGACCAGGAATTGGAACATAATAATTCCCTTGTTAGAGAAGAAAAAGAGACAACTGATGCAAGGAGAAAATCCCTTCTTGCTGCTGCTTTGGCTAAATCAGGTGAAAGACTGCAAGCCCTAACCCTCCTTATGATCCACTACAGAGCAGGCATTGAAGACATGGAATCTTTAGAAAGTCTGTCTTTAGACCAGCACTCCAAAAAATCTAACAAGTACACGGATGATGCCGAAGAAGAACTTGACAGTGAGCTAAGCCAACTACTGGACTCCCAGCCCTTCAGCCACGTATCAGATGCCTTGTTTGGCCCGTCCGAATCTGTGTAACGGGCGGTCTGTTTACGCTTTGAAGTGACTGGGGAAAAGCCCAGATACAACCGTGTTAGGCCCTCTTATTGTGTACTTGGACCTGCTTCTCTAGTTATTTGCTTGTGTAAGAACAAGAATGAAAGAGGTGGTTTTCTAGCAAAAACATGACCAGCTCCCTAAATTGGTTGTCTCAGAATGCATTCATAGCTATGTTTTTTGGGTTTATACTGGGAATTTATTTTTACTAATTTATTTTTAACTTTTTCTAATTATGTAATTATGTAAGCCAACTTTTCATGTTTATGTACGTGTGATGCCTCATTGTGTTTTCTTTCCTCTTAGTTTTTGAATTAGTGTTAAGTAGGGTACTGTCCAGATTCTTGAAATATTTTGATTTCTGTCACTGTTATAACAACACATTTGCTGCATGCCCAAATTGACAACAGCAATCATTGAGGGAACAGGTTTTGAATTTTTCTTTTGTGTTATGAAATTCGTCATCTCTCCTTGCTTGAGATTTTTGGTTTTCTGAGTGTTTTTTGTTTGGTTTTTGCCAAATGTAATAATGAAAGCAGATGCTGCAGCTTTAGTCTATTATGCTGATTTAGTAAAAAAAAAAAAAAAGAAATTTATACCTATGTTGCTTGCTTTCTATGCTTCTGTGGATTTTTTTTTCCCCCTGAAATTTTTGTGCATTTGAAGTATATTGAGAATATACTGATGCATTTGAAGAGTTTGCATTGAAAAACAAGATGTAACCGTTAATAGTGGGTAATAAATATGGAATGCAGCTGACCTAGTAGAACCGTCAAGAATTTTCTAGAGAGGATTTTCTAGAGAGGATTCCGAGAGTTCATTACTAAAAACAGTAACCACAAGGATTTGGAGATACAGTCTTTCCAAATGTTGACACTTTCCATTTAAATGGAAGTTCTAAATATTTTTTTGTTGTTGTTGTTATTTTTTCATCTGCAGTTCTCCCATAGGAAATAAAGCATGGACAAGGATACTTAGTTTCAGAGGACTGTTCTTAAAATGGCTATTTTGATACCTGATTTTGGCTGATTTTCTTTTAGAAACATTTTCATATAGGAATATGTGTGGAGAGGAATATGTGAAATGTATTGATTGCTTTGTCTGATGGCTTACATTCAGGCTTAAAGGAATAGTAATTACCCTGAATATTTCTGTATTTCAGACTATGTACACTCATTTTTTAAAAAAAGAAAAAATGAAGATAGGCAATATAGATACATAGGAATTGGGGCCATTTCTCTGAAATGAAGATCTACTAGGATATGGAGTCCATCTTGTGGGTCCCATTATCACATGCCTGATGGGAAACAAGTTAGACTGACCTCTGTTGGTGTACTATGGAAGTGTTGGCCTTTTATATACTTATAAAATATGCGTGCATATCTTTTTCCCTTTTGTAGGTAACTACTGTGATAATTGATATATAGTGAAACTGACATGGATTTAAAACTAGATGGAATGGCTTTTACTGCTGGCAGGAAGAGGCATAGTCTAATACTAAGGATTCTGGCATAGGTCTGCAGCCCAAGACACCATACAAGGGTTTCAGGCTCTTCCATTAACAAACTTCGTAACAATAGGCAAATCAGAAAGGGGCTTCGTGTTCGTGCCGTAGTCTTCCCATCCCTGCAATGGGAATAATACTACTTACTCTCACTACCTCACAGGATCATTGTGAGGAAAACAACATCATAACTTCAGGTGTGCTTTGAAGAGTAAAAATCTTTACAAATAAAAGGTATTATTTATATGGGTCATAAAAAGTTTTTTTGAGAGCAGAAAGGTTATTTCACTTTTAAAATCAATAGCCAACGCTCATTCCTGTTGTTATTTTGTTATTAAATGAAACAACACTAAGTACCTTTCTTGACCAAGTTTATAACAAAAAATAATGTGTGTATACCCCTGTTATTTGTTTGTCTAAGCATGCTCTGCATTTTAAAAAGCACTGCTAGAGAAGACTTTAAGTTCTCTTAAAGCTGAAATAATGGTTGTTCCATAATACATGCTTGAAGCAGTCTGCCCAATGCAATAACCAAGTTTCATGTTGTCCTGAAAAATGATAACCTGGAAGGCGAAGTGTCTGTAAGCGGCTGGTGTTCATCGATTACCCCAGAGAAGATGTAGGGAAATCCAGGAATAGTGCTGAGACTGATGAATTTGAGAATGATGTAGAAATAATGCAGAACTTTGGTTTCATAAGAATCTACTCATATTTTAAAAGTATTTAACTCTGTAGAACCACAGTTATGGAAAGCTCAGTAATGCTGCTAATGAGATTTGTAAAATACACATCGAATGTAATGCAATATTTTTATATATCCTGGGGAAGGTGGTTAGAAGCCTCACAGTTGTACTTTAGTACCAGGGGAAAACATGCAATAGCCTAAGGGGATAGTACGATACAAGGCTTCAGTGAAACAATTGTAATATATTACATTCCTGATGTAATCTTGCTGCCATGCTATGTTATCAATAGCTTTAAAAAAAATAATAAAGGCTACTACAGAAAACAAGAATATCTTCATTTTGATGGCAACTAGACAAAGGGATGGCTGCTGCAGATCTATGGGAAAATCACCTGCTAGAATCTGGCCGTGCAAACAAGCTTAACCAAGTCGACTTTTGCTAAACAAAATTGCTATTTTGCAAACTGCCTAGAAGCATTAACATTTCTTTCACTGTTGTTTCCTTAAGCCTGTAAAATAGCAGAGTTAGGGATTTGCCTTTGTTACACATAGTGATTGTAGTTGTTAGGTGCTGTCCAGTCGGTTCCAAGGCGTCACGTCCCTGTGCACAACAGAAGCAAGCACTGCCCAGGTCTTGGTGCTTGGCCACGTTTGAACCCACTGTTGCAGCCACTGCTCAGTCTATCTCCTTGAGAACCTTCCTCTTTTTCACTGACCCTCTGCTTTACCAAGGATGGTGTTCTTCTCCAGGGACTGGTCCTTCCTGATAACATGTCCAAGGTACGTGAGACAGAGTCTCTTCATCCTTGCAAGATAAGGAGCATTCCGACTATTTCTTTTAAAACAGAGATTTGTTCATTCTTTTGAAAGTCCATGGTATATATTCAGTATTTGCCAACACCATAATTCAAGGGCATCATTTCTTCAGTCTTTATTCATTGTCTACCTTTCCTATGCATATGAGGCGATTGAAAATACCATGGCTTAGGTCAGGCACACCTTAGTCCTAAAGGTGACATCTTGGCTTTCTAACCCTTTAAAGAGGTCTTTTGCAGCATATTTGCCCAGTGTAATATGTCATTTGATTTCTTGACTGCTGCTTCCATTGGAATTAATATAGATCCAAGTAAAATGAAGTCCTTGACAACTTTAGTCTTTCTCTGTTTATCATAATATTGCTTATTAGTCCAGTTGTGAGGATTTTTGTTTTTTTGTTACATAATCCATACTGAAGACTTTAGTCTTTGATCTTCATCAGTGTTTCAGTTCCTCTTCACCTTCAGTAAGTAAAGCTGTGTCATCTATATATTGCAGGTTGTTAATGGATCATCCTTCAGTCCTGATGCATGTTCTTCAAGGTAGTGCAGCTTCTCAGATTATTTGCTCAGCATACAGATTGAATACATATGGGGAAAGGATACAACCTTGACGCATACCTTCCTTGATTTAAAATCATCCAGTATCCCCTTGTTATGTTTGAACAACTTCCTTTTGTACAGGTTCCTCATGAGCACAATTAAATGTTCTGGAATTCCCATTCTTAGCAATGTTAACTATAATATGTTATGATCCACAAAGTCAAATGCCTCTGCATAGTTAATGAAACATGGTAAACATCTTCCTTGTGTTCTATGCTTTCAGCCATATTCCATCTGACATCACTAACGATACACCTTGTTCCACATCCTCTTCTGAATCCAGCTTGAATTTCTGGCTGTTCCCTGTCAGTGTACTGCTGCAAGTGTGTTTTAATTATCTTCAGCAAAATTTTACTTGCATGTGATATTCAATAATTTCTGCATTCTGTGAGATTACCTCTTTTGGAATAGCCACTTACATGGATCTCTTCTGGGAGCTCTGGTAGCATAGTGCCTAAGGCATTTGACTGCTAACCAGAAGGCTGGCAGTTCAAATCCACCAGCCACTCCTTGGAAGGAAGGTTGGGCAGTCTACTTCCCTAGTGATACCTCCTTGGAAACCCAAGGAGGGGTCGCTGTAAGTCAGATCTGACTCTACGGCAGTGAGTTTCTTTTTAATGGATTTCTTCTAGTTGCTTGGCCAGGTAGCTGTCTTCCACATTTCTTGCCATAGATAAGTGATTGCTTCCAGCAGTGCGTCCATTTGTTGAAACACCTCAATTGGTATCCTGTCAGTTCCTGGAGAGTTGACTTTTGCCAGTGCCTTTGGTGCAGCTTGGACATCCTCCCTCAATACCACTGGTTCTTGATCATATGCTTCCTCCTGAAATGGTTGGCCCTGTATATTCCCGCCATCTTCTTTTGATGTTTCTTCTGTTGTTCAGTTTTTTGTCCATAGAATCATTCAATATTGCAACTCAAGGCTTAAATTTTTTTTGTTTCTTTCAGCTTGAGAAATGCTGAGCATGTTCTTCCCTTTGATTTTCCAACTCGGTGTTTGCACATTTCATTATGATTCTTTACTGTCTTCTTGAGCTGCCCTTTGAAACCTGTTCAGCTCTCTTACATCATCATTTCTCCCATTCACCTTAGCTACCCTCCAAGAGTTTCTGTCTCTTCAGACATCCATTTTGCTGGTGGGTTCCCCCCCCCCCGTCTTTTTAATGGCCTTTTGCTTTTTGTACGATTAAAAAACTCGAACTCTTAGCCATCAGTTCTGACTCATAGCAACCCTATATATATATAGAACAGAGTAGAATTGCACCATAGGGTTTCCGAGGCTGTCAGTCTCTATGGGAGTAGACTGTCTCATCTTTGTCCCATGAAGCTGTTCAGTGAGTTTGAACTACTGCCCTTTCAGTTCGTAACCTGGCACTTTAACCACTGTGCCACCAGGGCTCCTTATATAGTGATTGGACTATTTAAAATGCAGTTTCTACCTTGGTATTTAGATGAATGATTGGGTTAGATAGCCACACTGAACAACATCATAGCATGAGTTTGTAATCAATATCTGACATTTCTTAATATCAAGCTTTATATTCTCAAATATCAGAACTTGTTGAAATACTACCTGGTTATTTTGTGATTCTGAGAGGAGGGACCACAAGCTAAAAGTTTTGGAGGTGATGTCAATTTCAAAATTTAAGAAAGCCTCTGAATTTTTTAAATGGCAATTTGAAAATACAATGAAACCTGCAAAAGCCTGAACCCATGTAAGGCAGAAACCGGTCAGAGAAGGAAAACTCACATATTTCCCACTAATAGAAAGGGATGGAAAAGTGGTAAGACTGCACCCTGTCAAAGGCAGAGAACTGAGACCCAGGAAAACAAGGTAGTCTATTGAGTTACAGCTGTCATTATATTTGCCTCTTAGTAATAAAAATAAAGACCTTAAATTCCCCCCAATTCATTAATTTAAAATCAACTTGATTTTTAAAATATACTCTTTATATCTAAGTGGAAATAACAGTATTTTCTTTAAAAGTTTCTCTGATCCCTTTTTGAGTCATCAGTTCCCTTTGAGATCTGAAGCAAGCTATGGACTCACCTCTGAGCGATATGCGTGCGCACCACTCAAAATGTCCCTAACTCCAAGAGTGTCATGGAAACTCTGGGGGCCCCAGTTAAGCACCACTGTGTCAAGTGGCTAGATATGGTCGTTCTTGTCATCGGGTACAGTGATTCACAATATTGGGACTGCACAGTGCCAAGGATAGACTTGCCAGGTTTCTCCACAATGGTACAATGTTACATATTTAGTTTGAAATAAATTGTGCCCAAAGTATGGTTGAAATTAACTTGGAATAGATTTTACCTGATGCCTGCAAGCAGAAAAGAACAACTTTTCATGGCTACAGTCAAAATGATAACCTTGTTACCTATTTTATTATTAGTCTGCTTTATAAAGGAATACAAACAGGCACAGTACGGTGTTCGGAATATTTATTATGTAAACTAGCTAAAATATGACTCGGACAGACAGACGAAGCAGTCAAAACAAGGAGCTGATTTTTCATTGCACCTCAGTAAGGTTTTTGTTACAGGTAGTCCCCAACTTAACAACGTATTAGAGTTCCAACGAACTGTACTTAGTGACCGTCAGTCTTTTTCTGTAGATTTTATTGGTTTTTTTGTGTACATACGATGTTGCAGCACGTAATTTACTCCTGGTATAATTCTCAGAGGTTCACTCAGATGTGCAGAATCAGGTTTATAAAGACACTGATAATAAAAGGCAGTAATAAAACTAAAAACAAGTATGTCAGAACGGACTTAGGACAGTGTCGTTAGCACGGAAGTCCGCCGTAAGTCAGGGACTGCCTGTATTTTATTACCAGGTAGAAATAAGCCACTTCTGTTCAAAAATAAATGTTCAGAGCACTGTATATGCTTGTTCTGATACATAAACGATTAACCAAAAAAAAAAACCTCTCTTCACACAAAATATTAGTCACAAAGACTTTAAACCATTTTTTTCTTTCTCTCTCTCTCTCTGGGCCCCTCAGATACTACTGATCTCTCTTGCTCCCAAACAGTCCTAGAAAACACCCTGTCTTTTAGATCATCCCTGGATCAGCAGCAGGCTTGCCTGCCTTCCCCAGTCATTCTTGAAAAAGCAGAAGCCTTAAAAGCTAAAATAAAATAGGAATAAATTATTATGGGAGGTGGATTTATAACACGTTCTTTTTAAAAACCTCTCCTCTTAGAGAAGTAGGGAATAATCCTGCCTTTTTCTTTTAGCCATGTAAGAGTACCTCCAAAGCCATCTCCCAAAAAGGCAGATTGTGTAAGGTGCCCTACACAAGTAACTGCACCTGAAAGCCAGGCTCTGCATCACCCCAAGAGTGCTTTCCTACAGAATAAGAAATAAGATCGAGGAGTATCTGTTCTAAAGTGTCTGCTCCTTGATGTCCAAGTAAACAGGAACACAACGTTAACTTCACGAAGAAATGACGGGTAAATTTTGTTCACGATGACAGAGCTGCAGAATTGACAAGGATTATTTAGACATATACTGCACTAGCGTCACATTCCAAAACACCTCACAAAACGTCATGTGAACTGACAATTTTTACTAACACGGTATTTGCTGTTAACATTGAAAAAAGGTGAATTAATGTTGTCATGCTTGGACGACACTCCACGTAATGAGATGGTAATTTACATGTTTGGTTTCCTTTTCTGCCTGTGAAAGGGGGTGTGTCCTAACCACCCTAATATTTTTTACCCATTTTCATTCCTTCATTTAAAATTTGTTTTCACATTGATGTGAACAACTTTCAGATGACCCAAACTTAATTTCTAGAGAACACTTAAATGACCTTCAAAGAGGTCAAAGACACAGTCTGATTTTTCGTGTCATAGCTGCTATTACCCTTTCAGATTTCTAAAACTTGAACTAGGTAGTGATTGATCTTACCATGCTTAAACAACCTCAACAGTGGAAGGTACACAGACCCACAATTTTATTTCATCCAACAAAACAATCTAGTGTATATCTTAAAAAGAAAGCTGCTAGTTGTTGCTAACTACATAGTTTAGGGTGCTTGTCTCTGCTTCCACAGTGTTTACTATTTTTCCCTAATTAGCTGGAATGTTTGCTGCCAACCACATGACATGTAAACATAATTTATAACCATGTATTTACAGGTAGGTGACTACTCAGAAAACTAATGCCAGCTAAGATTTATTGGATAAGTCCAAAAGATGACTGACTCAAGTTCACGTCCTCTGTACTTGAGATAGCTAGCTTTTAACTCAAATATATTGACAGTAACTACAAGTAACTCAGCACTCATTCAAAGTCACTATATAATATATGCTGTCTTCCTAGACTGTTTTTCAGACTTCCTCCTAGCTCCTCATTGTCCAAAGAGTCTCAGAGATAATGTGTGCTTTAGTTGTAAACACTCATTATCAATATTCAGAAAAAAATAGAGGATTTTTGCCAAGCGTTCATGAATGTAAGTTAAAAAATTATATTTGATTTGGATTCAAATATTTATAGATTTACACTATACCTATTTCTTCAAAATATATTGTATAATATGTAATAAAACCAAATACATAAAATAAAGATTTCAGCACAATTTATACAAACCCCTAGAAAAGCTTCTTTCTTTATAAGGCTGTTGGCAGTAGATCATAACCATGGAAAAGAAATGATAACCTTTGGTTGCTTTACTCTCACAAGGATGGTATGACTACGACAGGCTGGAAAGTCACTTCACTGGGAACACTGTGTTATACAATTAGATACTTGGATGACTTTGGAGTTTCTCAGTCACTTTCAGATTCTTCATCATCACCTATTGGGTATGACTGAATATTATTCTGGGTGTACATTTTTGTTTTAATGGGGCAGTTGTGATCCATGAGAATAGCCTGAAAGAGAACAAATAAGAGTATTAGCTTCTTGTTCCACAAAGGTAAGATGGCTTTAACCCACTCTTGTTGAGGAATACTAGTTTGAAAGCTGTGTGTAGTACCACTTGGTCTTAACCAATCATTTGCAGCAACTGCCAGGTTCCTGGCCTAGGAGATTTGGAGTTCTGCCCTGAAAACTTCCAGGCCAACAGGCAGAAGCGGACTCTATGGGGTCTTCTTATTATGCCTGTCAAGGGCCACAGTCCATTCCAGGGAACTACACGCTCCAAAGCAAGGAGTATGCGGGCTGGGTTTAGGAAAAGCTGTACTTAAGATCTTGGAAATGGGGTTGGGGTAGTCCCAGCCAATCCGACTTTATTGTAGCAACACAAGATGAGTGTGTCTCTTAGTGGGAAGAGCTCTCAGGTGTTAGAAATGGACCTGAGGTTGAACTAAAACCTGCCTCCAGAATCGTGGGTCTGATTCTGATCCCAGCTGTCTCCACAGACCGCCCTGACACCTTGTTAAGACCATCACCGTGGCTCATTAGATTTCTCAAGGCCAAATATTCCAGGGCCTTATCTTTTCATGAGATGATTTCCAGACTGCCTTTCCCCAAATCCTGGCTGGCCTTGAGCTCAAATGTAAGTTGTGTGTGTGTGTGTGTGTGTATGTGCTTAATCCATCCCCCTTCTGATGAACAGAAAAATCTCATCCCTCCTTCATTGTTACTGGAAATTAAACAAAAACAGTGTGACCAAAGGCAAAGCAATGCTTTGTTTTCAAACTGTATCCTCAGTTGATAAGCACCTGTAATCACTATTCGTCCTGCAGGAGAACTAAGCTGAGCTCAGAGCTTCATTGTACTGATGATGGGTAGTGTGCAGGGCATGCTGAGCGTGTAAGATACAATACTCCGATCTCACAGTAACTCTCTGTGGCAGAGTGAAGGAGGCACAGAGAGGAAGAAGGTGCCCGAGGGATACACAGCCAGAACGTGTCAGACATGAGCCCAGGCAGCCTGATGCCAGAGACTGCCCTCGTCAACTCCATGGCACAGTCAGAAGCAAGCAGAGGACCTGAGGGGGACCACGAGGAATCCTTTTCCGTCAGGTATGGCTCAAGGGGTTTTCCTCTTTCGTGCGAACTAAGCCCATTTTCCCCAGTTATCTTTTTGTGCATTATTAAAAATCATGGCAATGTTTACCAGGATTAAAATTTTTCTTTTGGTCTCCACCTAGCTGTTACTCCGTTCTCATCCCTCAGCTCTGATAAGCTTCTAGGACTCCATTCCGTACTCACCCCACTTATTTTCCCATGGAATTCTACCACCATGTGAATGACAAGACTCCCCTGGCCCTCTACATTAGGTCCCCAAGTCCACAAGTGCAAACCCATTTCTGTTTTTTATCATGCTTCTTGCCAAGTGAACTGACACTTGTCTTTAATAAAGAGCTCAGCTTCTAAAACTAATTGGCCCAAGGGACATCATGCACTATGACAAATCTCCTGTGTGGGTGTGTTAATCCACGCCCGCTCCCACAATCTTCTTAGATCAGTGACTCTCAAAGAAAGGTACTAGGACTCACTGTGGAGGTGGAGGGGCGGGGCAGGTGAAACATCAAATTCTACTCCCTGCCCCACCTCACGTGTCCATGGTGTCAACGTGTTGCTTGTCCTTATCTCCGACTACAGCACAGTTAAACCGCTAACCAGGTCATGAAGACCCCCTAAGGTCCCGTACCAGCAGCCTGCCTTACAGCATAGATACACATGAGTCCGTGAGATCCTACAGGCTTCACAGGTCAGAGCTCACTGTGGGGGTGTGCTCAGGGAAAGGTCTATGGAAGAAATGGGAGTTGAACTGAGGCTTGAAAGATGGAAGGATTTGACATCATGGGAGGTGGGAACGAGCAAAGCATGGATTATTTACCAAAGGGAACATTAAATAAAACAGGGCTATAGGACAGGCCAGTCTGGCCACCACAGAAATCTGAGGATGAGGTACAATGACACTGGTGGTAAAACCCAGTCAGAGACAGACTGCAGGGCCTTGAATGCCAGGCAAGTGGGTATGAGCCTCACTTGGCCCACAGGCAGCAGAGCAGACTTGGAAAGAATGGTTATCACTCTACCTATTTATAACTCTCTTGGTTCATTCACCATTAGCCCTGAATGCACGTACAGATAGACTCCCAAGGACCCCCAGGTCCTAGGGCGGCACCCATAGTATGCACTCATGAAACACTGTTGTAAGAAAAGAAGTTGAGTGAGACTGATTAGCTGGCATCATGGAGACGATGAGCAGAACTTAGGGATTCAGCCAAACACTATTTGTCAACCCTGAATATTTCAGTAAAGGCATTTGCTTCCTTGAGGTACTATTTTCTATCTTGAATCTCCTGTTATGAGTAGTGAGGATTGTATCTTTTAAAACCTAGCTTCTGGCTTCTGAACCTCTTCTGAAAGGTTTATTGTGCAGTAATATATTTTTTAAGTTGTACATGATTAAATAAGCCAGATGACATGAAGTATTCCCAAGGTGCCATGAAAAGAGAAGCATGAACAGCACGAAATGGCAAGTGACAGGGACAAAGAATGGCCACAGGGCAGCCAGCTTATACACTAGCACGCTGCACACCGCTGTGGGGAGAAAGAAGTACTCAACTCTCAAATGAGAGAAGAAATGGGGAAGGGAGCTTAGTTTGAATTAAGAGCAAACCCAAGTCCTCCAGGTCAAACCCTGTTGTTAGGTGTCATCGGTGGATTCTGACTCACAGAGATCCCGTGTGACAGAGTAGAATTGCCCCATAGGATTTCCTAGGCTCTGGTGGTAGAGCGGTTAAGGCATGTGACTGCTAACCAAAAGGTCAGTAGTATGAACCACCAGCTAGCTGCTCCATGGAAGAAAGATGAGGCAGTCTATTTCTGTAAAGATTTATAGCCTTGGAAACCCAGTGGGGTCTCTATGAGTCGGAATCAACTCTATGGCACTGAGTTTGGTTTTGTTGGTAACCTCTGTAAGAGGAGACCACCTGGTCTTTCTCCCATGGAGTCGCTAGGGGGGGTTCAAACCACCAACCTTTCAGTTAGCAGCCCAACCTCTGCCAAATGCCTAGTTTCTTCTCATCTGCAGAGCAAAGTTAGGATCTCCAAAGACATCAAAACATGATGGTACAAATGAAGCATAAAATCATGCACGTATTAAGCTGGGATAACTGAAAAAGGGAAAGCATTAAAAGGTAAGAGCTGCCGACTCAGACTTGGAGAGAGATCAGGCCCGAGGGGTAGAAAAGTTTTATTCTCTTTAGCACAACTGGAAAGCACAATGGTTTTGCATCCACTCTGTAGATGCCCTGCAAAGGGAGAAACCTCTACACGTGGGTTCTAATATGCCGCACATACTCAGTGGGTGGCAGGCTGCAGAGCGTGTCAGCCCCTGGCTGCCTGATCCTGGCCTGCCCACAGCCAGCCTCCAGAAGGCAGGGGAGGTGGAAGGGCTTTATGGCACCAACAACCATCTGAGCCGCCTGGGAAAAGCAAGCTGCCATCCTTAAACCAACTACTGTCTGTGTGGGCCACAGGTGGTAACATCAGCTGTAAGAAACTACTCTCTCTCTAAAAACAGTCCTTCAGCCTGAAAAACAAAGTCCATCTCAGAACACAGCTATTCCCAGCTGAGGATGCTGGGCCCTAAGGGCTGCCACATGAACGGTCTTATAAGTGGAACACAGTTTTTCCTCCAATGGCAGCGTTGACATTGCCTATACTTACATAGGGACTTGAATAACAGTTTTGTTTTTTTTCTCAGGCTGTATTGATTAAGTCAATAAAAAAACCAAACCAAACTCACTGCCATTGAGTTGAAGCTGACTCATAGCAACCGCTCCTTGGGTTTCTGAGGCAGTATCACTATGGAAGCAGATAGCCCAGTCTTCCTTCCGAGGAGTGGCTGGTGGGTTTGAACCGACAGCCTTTTGGTTAGCAGTCAAATGCCTTAGGCACTGCGCCACAAGAGCTCCCAGATAAGTCAATACTGATTGTAAAATTAAAAAGGGAAACAAAACAGAAATCCACAAAACTAAATGGAAGAAAAATTCAAGTGCTCACACATCAGTTGATAATGTTATGACCGGCCCTCCCTGAAAATAGCCTTAGATCTTTCAGTAGAAAACCCCCCCAAGACAAGCACCTCATTACAGGAAGCTCCCTAATGAACAAATTGTTTGCTCAGGGCTGTGTGCCTTACCCAGGCTCTCTTGCTCCCGCATTTAGTAACAGCTAATTCCGCACACCAGTGCTTGTCTAGATCAGATTTTCTCAAGTGCGTGGTAACCAGTTCCTTCTCCTCCACAGCACTGCTGTCTTGCCCTCATTCCCCTCATTATCATTAGGGGCTATCAGCCTCCACCCTGGTTCTTCCCGCTCCGCTTGCACAGTGAGTAGGCAGCAGCTGAGGCCTGCCACCCTCCAATGTTACGTTGTGCCAGTCAAATGGCATCTGACGCGATGCCTTCAATTATGGGCAGCGTGACATTCATGTTCTCAAGTTTTTAACGATTCCTCTTGCTAAGCGCTTGTTAATGATGTTGACATTTTGCAGTGACAGAGGCTTTCTAGAAACCTATCATTCTTATTGCTTGGCCTTTAGGTACTGTCTCTCTCACTTCCTTCATTTTTTTTCCATGAATGAAGGCACTGGTTCAAATGTAGGAAGAGAAGGAGTCACTGAAGCCGCCTTTGGCGGTCATCGTGTGGAACAGAGTGCAGCTGGCGGGCCAAGAAGCCTGCTGTTCCTCCTCTGACTTCAGGCAATTCCTCCAAACCTCACATAGGTCATCCTGCTGCTGCCGACCAATGGAGAACACAGCAGCCCTTGAAGTCCATGCCTTGGCCGGGGCAGCCATTCAACAGTTCTGGGGCCTGTATGGCAGCAGGAAGCTCTCAGCTCACAGAGGGAAGAAAGGGAGAAACCTGGTACCACGAGGGTCACAGGATAAGTCAGCGTCAGATGAGGGCAAGGAAGAAGAGTGAGGGAAATTGGAAACAGCAACACATGAACATCTCCCGTGTACCAGCCTGGGGTGACCACTCTACTGGGTTTCTCTCATCTAACCCTCACTGCTGTGAGGCAGTAGGAGCTCTGGTGGCACTGTGGTTAAAGCACTGGGCTGCTAACCAAAAGATCAGCAGTTCAAACCCACCACCTGCTCTGTGGGAGAAAGATGAGGCAAGTCTACTTCCAAGATTTACAGCCTTGGAAACACCCTAGGGTCACTATGAGTCGGAATCGACTTGCCAGCAGTGGTTTTGTTTTGTTTGGGGGGCTATGAGGCGGATGCTGTCATTCTCCCCAGGGAAAAGAGGAACTGAGAATCGTACCCTCTCTGAGTGTGGGGGTCGGTAAAGCAGTTAGCCCAGACAGCATCCCAATCCTGCACTGTCTGCAAGAATCTTTTGCCACCTCCCGGGTGCTAGAAGTGTTTGCAGGTGATTATCTTTCAGTCAAAAAGAATCAGCAATAACCTTGATACAGCCATAATCAAACTGATATGGGAGCAACAGAATCACAGGTTTTCAATTGTTGCATTGAGAACTGTCTGACCCCTCTTTGGCCAAGATGTTATGTTGGAGTCAGCCGAACTTCCACAACCACAGTGGAGGTCGGAAACCAGGAAAGTCTTCTCAGAGGTGTATCATAAAGCATTATGGCTGTTTCGAGCTGGAGGTGCATCTGCACGAGACTGTGGGTGATGAGGGTGATCTGGACGTGAGGAGTGCAGAGCAGCAGAGCCGAAGAGGAAACAAGAAAGGGATGGTTCCACTGGATTACTTCCACTTCAGCTTCCACTCCTTTGCTTGGAGTCAAATGGGCCATGACTTTCAAAATTATCTAATTAAATTCTGCATCGTCAAGAGAACAAGGCCAGCGACGAGTGCTGGATATGTTTTTTAAAACATGGTGAATTAATGAATGCAGAAAAGGCCCACGACGAATACAAATTGCATGTAACCTAACCTGAGGGTCTCCATCTTTATAATCATTCACTCTTCAGCAAAAGTCATAAAAGAGAGTTCAGGAACTGCCGTAGCTCTAGGATCCACTCAGTTCAACTGTCAGAGAGAACTGGTGTGCTCTCAAGAGAACAGCATCGGTGGCCCTCACATCCATTCATATGCACCATCGCCTCCTGCCTTGTTCATCTTTCTCATTCATTCTCAACTCACTCTTCCTTCAGCTCCATAACCAGCTGATGTTTCAAAGCTTAGCAGCCCCGCCCTCATACATAACTTATTATTCAGAAACACTGAGCTTCCCTTTCTGGGTAAGTTAAATATCTTAGGAAGGTTCAAATGAATGCTGCCTTTCAAAATTCAAATTTAGAATAAAAAATGTGAGCTTGCAAACAAAAGACAGGCATATGAGCTGAGCATTTACCTGAGGTAGATACACTCCTTGGAGAGAACAATCATGGGAGAATAGAAGGGCTGTGTATGCACAGGGAGACAGCTTGGGTGGCAGGAGTGCATGGAGGGATGGACACAGGGAAGAGGTAACTATGGGGAGGAGGAAGTGGGAGGGAAAATTGCTGTCAATGTCAAGAGACAGCGTGTGTGAGCTGCTATATGTAAAGTGAATTTGCTCTGTGAACTTTCACCCAAATCACAAGAAAACTTTTTTAAAAAAAATAATGTGAGCTTGATCAGACATTTTACATCCTATACTGCATCGTGCCTGTCTGTATTATTCTGGCCACAAAATGATGGATTAAAAGGTTCTACATGATGACATGTGTATCAAAGGTGTATATACTTTTCTCAAGGGAATGATACCAATACTGAGACCATCTCCAGAACCTTACAGATACAGTAGGGACCCACACACCAATGGTCACAGAATGCTCTAAGTGCTGGGAAGTAAGCAAGCAGCACCCTAAACCCTAGGACAGAGAGCATGAGGCAGAGCTCTGGGGTGTAGTGCCTAAGGCACTTGACTGCTAACCAGGAGGCTGGCGGTTCAAGCCCACCAGCCACTGCTCAGAAGGAAGATGGGGCAATCTACTTCCGTAGTGATACTGCCTCAGAAACCCAAGGAGGGGTCACCATGAGTCGGGTCCAACTCAACGGCACATAACAACAAACAACAAGATTTCCAAGAACATAGAAAACTAGATTAAACTACCTCATGTTTTCATTTTGTTGACAAAAAGCTATCCTGACTGCTAATCAAAGTACAAAAACAACTTCCCTCTTGAAATTTATCAATATAATGCCCAATATAGTAAAAGAAGTCACTGCCATATGGGATGCAAACTAAAAAGGAACTCTTACCATTTATGTGGGAGCTCCGGTAGCACTTGACTGCTAACCAGAAGGCTGGCGGTTCAAACCTACCACCACTCCTCAGAAGGAAGGTTGGGCAATCTACTTCCGTAGTGATACCGCCTCGGAAACCCAAGGAGGGGTCGCTATGAGTTGGGGCTGACTCAATGGCACATAACAACAACAACCACCATTTATGTTTGGAACATATTTTAGAATGAAACCATCCAGAAGACCATGCTAAAAAGATCAAGATGAAATGCTTCATTGCATCCTAAGTTTTCCTTACCATTTTTTCTTCCTTGGCAGGTGGACTTCGAAGGAAAAAGCAGAGAGGAGCAAATAGAATATCAATAATTCCAATAATTGTCATGAGCCACGGAAATCCAATTGCCTTGGCAATAGCCCCACCAGCAGAAGGACCTTGCAGGAAATAAGAGAATTAGATGCAGCTCTCCCCAAATGTCTCAAAGACAGATGGATGCCAATAATTTCTAATAGACACTAGAAATGCACTGAAGCAAAAATGTTCTTCTGAAAAGCCAGTGTCCTTACCTATGGCGTATCCCATACAAAATGCAACATCTGCAATGGCATACACACTGCCATAGACGGACACGTGCCGCAGGTCTACAAGGTAACCCATGATGGGCATCATTGATGAGTCCACCATTCCTGTGGGCAATCAGGAAACACGGTCTACAGAAAACTGCTATGAACCACAAACAGGCCAAACGTCATGGGATTGTGTCCTAAACGCATTGCTCCACCAGCCCTTCCTCTTTTGTCATCACCACGTGCCAGTCTCGAGGCCAGACTATCACCAGCCTTTCACTAGGACTGGGACCCTGTCCTGCAGTCTGAATTCCTGGTAGGCCAGCCTTTGCCTGGTATCTTTTTGCTTTGCCTTGCCTGGTCCTCCACTGTCTGACTGGCCCATCCTTTGGTGGAGGGCACCCAATCCTCTGGTGACTTACCTTGCCATTCCTTAGAGCCAGGGGACATGCTGGTTCCTGGCTGTGTGGACCCCAAGTTTCTTCCTCTTTGTGCTTCCTGATTCCTGACTGTCCACCTACTTTCTGATCCACTTGCCCCTTGCTCTTGGAGAGTAAGCACACCAATTCCTCGCCAGCTCCCTCCCCATCCCAACCTCAGCATCACACTTCTGAGACTTACCAAGTTGGAAAATACTAGGTAGGATCAGAGGGTGTCAAGTTTGAGGGACCTTGGAGATCATCTGGCCCTACTCAGGAAATGAGGACCAAATAAGGCTTGCTCATTTCACTGCTTCTAAAAACAAACCAACCAGGTTTAGAATCTCTGATCTCCTGAATAGTTAGGATGGTCGCATAAAGAAAGGACACATGTTCTGAGTTCAAACCCCTGGCTGACTGCCCATGGTCATGTTTAGCTCTCTGAACTTAGGTTTCCTTATCTATAAACTGGAACAATAATGACTGGCTAAAATGAGCCTGTCTGTGAACACACCTAGCGGTATACTCAAGGTTCCTTCACCTCCACATGTAGCAGAAGCAATCAGACGAGTGAGATGTCTTTCATTCAAATAGTATTTGTTATTGTTGTTGTTGTTATGTGCCGTCAAGTCAGACCCGACTCATAGCAACCCCTCCTCAGGTTTCCAAGGTGGTATCACTACGGAAGTAGATTGCCCAGCCTTCCTTCCAAGGAGTGGCTGGTGGGTTTGAACCACCTGCCTTCTGGTTAGCAGTCAAGTGCCTTAGGCACTATGCTACCAGAGCTCCTAGTAACTAGTATTTACTGGAAGCCTAATATTTGCTAGGTGCTAAGGACACAGCATAGCGGGTAAGGCACTTGACTGCTAACCAGAAGGCTGGCGGTTCAAACCCACCAGCCACTCCTCAGAAGGAAGATGGGGCAATCTACTTCCGTAGTGATACTGCCTCGGAAACCCAAGGAGGGGTCGCTATGAGTTGGGTCCGACTCAACGGCACATAACAACAACAACAACAAGGACACAGGTAGGTAAAACTAATACAAGAGCTAGTAGACATTAAGCAGAGTTGAAAAATTAATGACCATTATGATTGGTGCTACAAAGGTGCCGTGTATACACACACATACACATACACACACACATAATATATACACGTATGCACATACATATATAGTGTGCCATATTCATACATATGGGGAAAATCCTCAATGAGATAGACTGACACAGTGGCTGCAATGATGGGCTCAAGCACAATAAAGATTGTGAGGACGGTGCAGGACCGGGCAGTGTTTCATTCTATCGTACACAGGGTCACTATGAGTCAGGTCTGACTTGATGGCACCTAACAATAACAACATATATACCAACATATACATATGTATGTGTATACACACACACACATACTATTATCCTGGTGCTGAGCAGTCAGAAAAGGCTCTGTTCCTTCCTTCTACTGCGTCACTCAAAGGTTAAATTCTCACCCTTACCCTGTGATAGATTTCATAGTTACTTTTATCATGATCTATCTGTATATCGTGAATGAGAAAGGCATACTATCAAACCAAAATATTAATGATTTTCCCTAATATATTGTTCTTCACATTTCAAAGACTTCTTTGCCTGTGAAAATTCCCATAGCACAGGCAGGCAGACATCAATGCATCCATTTGCATTTTGTTCCAAACGCTTTAAAAAAAAAAAAATGTATGTGAAGTCTTTGACCTTCGGCTTCCTAGGGGAAAATCTGTTCAGCGATGGGCAAAAACAGTCCGAGTACAAATTCCTTTGCATGCCCAGCCTCAGCACGGACCATCATGTTTGCTTCTGTAAACACAGGCTTTTTAGAAAGCTAGTTTTCAGAGGAGGAAAGGTACTACCACGTGGAAACAGAGATCCTCATGAGGACCACCTACAGAGTGTACTTGAGCTAAGCTGCCCACAGCCTACTCTCAAGCCTCTAGAAATTTTACGTTGAGTAACTACAATCTGTCAGAGTAAGAGCAACCTTTCCTAGTAATGGAAACAAGTTTTAAATTTAGGCACAAGACTCATGTGACTTACCAATTGCAAAACCAACTCCAAAGTTGGGAGCTATGAGTCCATAAATGTTTCTTGCAAAAGGAATCTGTAAGAGAAAATAATTATTATACGAAAATAAGTTCCTGATATTCAACTTGGAATCATCTTGGAGATTCTTAAAAATACATCTTCTCTGGGCTTCAAATGTTGGTTCCCTTCTGAAGGAAACAGAAGGAGGCAGCAGAAGAAGGAAGGCAAGCTGGACCCTCCAAATCTTGAAAAGCCAAAGTTGGAAGGGGTCTTATGACTACCACAAAAAGCAACTCATTCCCATATGTGAAAGATCAACCTAGTGTAGTCCCAATTTCTGAGAAGGTCAAGAAGGCCTCATTTGACTACTGTTTGATTCTAGAAACATATGTTGTCGTTGTTATAAGCTAGTTGTCCTAAAGTGTTTAGGGCATTATAATGTTTTAAGATGTTTTTAAAAAAGAAGTTAAACATGCAATACAACATTCTAAATAGCTTCTAAGTGACACACAGTGACAATATTACTGTTTGGAGCACACTGCCTCCAATTTTTTAAGATACAAAATAATTAGAAGAAAATGACCAATGTAATGGGAGCTCTGGTGGCGTGGTGCCTAAGGCATCTGACTGCTAACCAGGAGGCTGGCAGTTCAAAGCCACCAGCCACTCCTCAGAAGGAAGGTTGGGTGATCTACTTCCGTTCAATAGTGACAAACTTCTAACTGCTGCAAAATGCACTTGGTGACTCTGTCCAAGACAAATGTTCTATTCAGAGACTGCCTCCACTGTTCAATTGCCACCTTTTACTCACACATAAAATGCTGATTCCAACGATTATCATTCCCAGAAGTGCACAAAGCCACCTGTCAAAACAAAAATGCCACCAGTAAGTGACCATTCAATTTTTCTCCCAGTCCAAATTTTCAATGGAAATCGAAGCAGTGACTTGTAATAACGAAGGCTGAAACACTTAGAACACTTTTAAGGTTACTACATTATTAGGATCCCTGGTGGTGCAGCGGTTAGGCACTCAGCTGCAAACCTAAAAAGGTTCAGACCCACCCAGTGGCTCCGTGGCATAAACACCTAGTGGTCTGTGTCCATAAAGATTACAGCCCATGGGGCACATCTACTCCATCACATCGGGTGCGGTGAGTCAGATTCGAACCGACGGCACCTAACACCATTATCATAACACAGTGAATGTGGTTGTCATTTCATCTTACCTCCCCATCTTGTGTGCGAGTATCCCAAAAATATTGGTTCCAATGAGATAAGAGACACTAGCTGGCAAGAAAGCAACGCCTGTAAATTGATGAAAAGGACACCTTATCAGCACTGATATCAGTCAAACGTTAGAAAAACTAATCATTGTAGACACCGCAATGTTGATGAGAGCAGACGGAATAAAGCGCAGGGGCCTGCACCGGAGCAGCTAATATCCGGTGGCTGGTGGAGCAGTCTGGACCCCGCTCGGCTGACGCATCTCCCTCCACAGAGCTGCCAAGCCGTCCAGAAATGAAAGCCAGTTCTCTATCAACAGCTTCATCTCGCCTCCACCTCTGTCTGCTCAAGGCTCCACACATGGACCCAAATAGCTGCTGAGGGGCCGAGGGGCCGAGGGGCCGAGGGGCCGAGGCCGGCTCCTGTGGCAGCGGAAACGGCAGCCTTTGTGCGTGCGCCATCCTTCCCTCTATCCCTGGGGGTAACAGAACTAACACCCAGCCACTAACAAAATCAGAAAACAGTCTGCCAAAAGAAAAAGTTCAAGGGACCCCAAAGCCCATCACTCAGGTAATCACCCCAGTTCTCCTTTCCCCCTTAAGTTTCATGTATAAATGCGTGCATACAGGATTTCTTGTTCCTCAAAAAAAAAGTGGGGGGGGGGTGGATTATACTAAACTGACTGGTCTACCTCTTTTCACGTTTAAAAATACCCAATATCTATGTGGTCTTCCTTGTGGCCGAATCGCATCTGGCTGACATCTTCCTGTTGGAGGTTTCGTGCGCTCCCAGGAGAGGCAGCTTGCAGAACCTGAGCTCTGAGGAGCCTGAGGTGACTTCCTGCTCAGGAGCAGCAGTGGCCTTGAAAGTGCTTTTTCATCAAATAGAAAAGCCTAACAGTCATAGGAGCTCTGGTAGCGTAGTGCCTAAGGCATTTAACTGCTAACCAGAAGGCTGGTGGTTCAAACCCACCACTCACTGCTCAGAAGGAAGGTTGGGCAATCTACTTCCGTAGAGATACCTCCTCGGAAACCCAAGGAGGGGTCTCAATGAGTCAGGTCTGAGTCTACGGCAGTGAGTTTGGTTTTTTAGTAACAGAGTCATACCAGGTTTGGCTGCCAGTAGATGTCACCATGTCAGCTCTTGTCCACATCAGTGGGACAACAGGACAATCACTTTACAAAAGACTGATGTTCAAACTCTTAATGCTTTTAGTATTTATTTATTTTTTTTTTTTGAAATCAGATATACCATATTTAGTTCTGAGCTTTGCCTATGAGTGGAAAAACTTGCATTGTCCTCAATTCTATGATTGTTCTCAATCAATGTATCTAAATGAGATAAATGACATCCTTCAATTTGCAAACAGCCAATAGTTATATAAAAAATTACTCTATGACCCAGCAACTCCACTCCTAGCTATCCATCCGAAAGACCCAAAAGCACAGACCTGGACACCAATGTTCATTCCAGCATTACTCCCAAGAGCCAAAAAGTGGAAACAACCCAAGTCCTTCAACTGATGAACGGAAAAACAAAGTGTGTTATGTGCATACAATGGAGTATTACTCAGCCATAAAGAGAAATAACGTTCTGATACATGTTATGGATGAACCCTGAAAACATTATATTAAGTGAAGTAAGTGAGACACAAAAGAATAAATATTGGATGATCCCACTTATATAAAGTATCTAGAATTAGCAAATGTATACAGACTAACATTTATTAGTGCTTACTAAAGGTTAGAGGGAGGAAGAGAGGGAGTTAGTGCTTAAGGGGTACTGAGTGTCTACCTGGAGTGACTCAGATCTTTTGGAAATGGATAATGGTAATGGTTGCACAACACAGTGAATTTAGTATCACTAAATTGTACACTTAAAAATGACTACAGTTGCAACTTTTTTGCTGTATATATTTTACCACAATTAAATTTTTTAAAAACCCAGCAAATGGTCAGCGAGTGCCCACTACACATTAAATGCACAGGTTGCATGGGGCTTTTCTGTTCAGGCAGCCATCCAGCACACAAAAGAGAAAGTACTGTTGTGTCTTGAAGGATGTGCAAGCCTTTCACTACATCTGTGTCATCACTAGTGTCAGTCATCAAACCTTGAAAAAGGTTGAACCTTGCCACACAGTAGGGATATAAAAAATGATTCATTCCATAAGCCAAATCCAAAACCGAGTCATTCTAGACTTGGTCATTCTGGGAAATAATAATAAAGAGCAAGCTCATTTCATGTTCCAGGAACTCGTTTCCATCACATTTAGCAATGTGTGGCAGCCAAAGAATTGTTCAGTGGAATCTGATTGAACAACATTTACTCAACAGCCATGTCCCCAGTGAAGTACTAGAGCCACCATGAAGACAATGATCACATGTGGCTCTTGTCACAACATGAGCATCTTCAAAGGAAGGAATTGGATGATGTGTGAACTGTGACATGGCCAGCATGAAGGACATAACAAAGATATATGCATGATGCTCTCAGAAGGCAGAGCCTGCAAGTGGGAGTGCTCCCCAAAGCAGAGGAGATTGAACCCAGCCTGGAAAATGTGGGGCAGGATTTTCCAAAGCTCTGAAAAACTGTCTCCCACTCCTGTCAGTCTGTCTGCCGTACTCTGGTAGCTTGCATGTTGCTGTGATGCTGGCAGATATGCCACCAGTATTTCAAACACAGGAGGGTCACCATCTTACGTTGGGTTCTCAGAGAAGCCAAACCAGTCAAGCTTATGTACGTATATGTATATAGGGAGATTCATCTCAAGGAAATGGCTCATGCAGTTGTAGAGGTTGGCAAGTCCCAAGTCCATGGGTCAAACATCAGGATGGAAGCTTTTCCTGACTCACGTAGCTACAGGGGCTGACAAACCCAAGAGCAAAAGTCAGACAGCAAGCTGCTGACTCATGGTTTGCAGAGGGTGATGAATCCAAGATCAGCAGGTAAGATGGCACGCCACTGGCTCAAATCCAAAGAATCAGAGAGAGGTCAGATGATGATGAACTACATGCAGGATCAAGATTAAGCAAAAAGCCAGAGAGCTTTGCCAGAATGTCCATATATACTGGAAGTAGGCCATGTTCCCAAAGAAACTCCCCTTCAACTGCTCATAACAGATCTCATCAAGGTGGTGAGTACATTATATCAGATCTCATCATAGGGGATGACTACGTCATATCTGCCAAACCACTGAGAATCATGGCCCAGCCCAGCTGACACACAACCTTAACCATCACAATCACCCGTGGTGGGCAGGTTTCAGTGGAGCTTCCAGACTAAGACAGACTAGGAAGGAAGATCTGGTGATCGACTTTAAAAAGTGGCTCATGAAACCTTATGAGTGGCAGTGGAACTCTGGCTGATAGAATGCCAGAAAATGAGACCCGCAGGGTGGAAGGCACTCAGAATATGACTGGGGAAGAGCTGCTTTCTCAGAGTAGAGTTGACATTAACGATATGGGTAGAGTAAAGCTTTTGGGACCTCCATTTGCTGATGTGGCATGACTCACAGTGAGAAGAAACAGCTGCAAACATCCATTAATAATCGGAATATGGAATGTGCAAAGTATGAATCTAAATTGGAAGTTGTGAAAAATGAAATAGAGCGTACAAAAATTAATATCCTAGGTAATTAGTGAGCTGAAATGAACTGGTATTGACCATTTTCAATGAGATAATCATATGGTCTGCTATTTTGGGAATGACAAATTGAAGAGGAATGGTATCACATTCATCTTTAAAAATAATATTTATGATCTATCCTACAATGCTGTTAGTGATAGGGTACTGCCCAATTTCATGAGTCTCAGCAGTGGATTAAACAATGGATTAAGAGGCATGAAACAGAAGTTTGTCTCAGCGTGAGACCTACTGTGTGTGTGGCTTTGAGTGGGTCACTTTAACTTCTTTGAGCCCAAAAACAGCAATGGCTTCCAGCCTACACACCTCATAGGGTGGTTCTGAAGAGCAAATGGAAATTGTACAATAAGACCCTTGGCAATCAACCCTTCTGGTCTGATTTCTATGCTCTACTCCATCCAAACCCCTATCTTTCACCCTGGCCAAGCTGCAGAAGGCTGCTGCAAGCAGGGACCATAGTATCTATCTCTCTCCCCATGGCCTCGCTCAGTAGCCAGCACATAGGGGGTCCAGTGCACATCTATCTGGTTGTTAACTGGATGGGAGTACTCTCCTTGCTTATCAAGAAGAAGGATGTGGTTTGAGGACTTCCATTTCACAGAACTTTGAGTGTCAAGGAGGTTCTTGTCCTGTGAAGGCAGGTCCCACTTTCATCAGCACCCTGCCCATGGGGTAATAAAACACAGTACAGCCCAGAGCTCAAAGCCCTCCTTGCAGTTC